AATAAATCTAAGTCTTTAGTTGAATTAGCTGCTGACATAAGTATATTTTCAGGGGTATATAGCATATAGTTTGAAGAGAAAGAGGAAAGATAAAAAGTGGAATTATTTCTGGAATTAGATTGGTTTACTCTAAAATTTAAACGTTCGATTATTTCGGGACAATCTATAATATTATGTAATAATTTATATAAAAATTTACAGTTTAAGATAATAAATCTTTTATTTAGGGGCATTATTTTAAAGAGATTACAAATGGTTTCATATCCAAAATGAGGAGTTCTTATATAATGGTATTTATATGATAGGTATCTTAAAAAGTTATTTTGTACAGAAGATAGACTATGGTTTTGGATAATAATATATTATATATATATATAAGTGTACAGTGGCGCCGAAGTCCATGCTGAGGTCGGGCCGTGGCCCGACCTCTTTTTTGAAAAATGTGGCCGGCCGGCCATATTAATTTACATCATAACTTTATTATAAGCATGAGTAAATTTAAACCGTGATTATAAATAAATTTATATTAGGAGGGTACCTCTATATTAAATAATTAAGATATTGAGGCCGGGAAGTTTTAAAATTGCCCGACCACATTTTAAAAACTTCGGCGCCACTGTAAGTGTATAATTTAATTTTTCCCTATGATGTAATAATTATTAACGTGTATAATTATTACTGTGCAAATTTGAAACCTTCAAACTCGATTTACTACTGCTCGATCACACATCGCGTAGGCTCTTGGTTCAGCAACGAACATTTCATTATACAGCCTTCGTGAAAATCTGACGTAATCGTATTCTACGAATGCCGTACCGCACACGTTATGTAAGTACGTGTTTCTCATTAATCAAATATTCATAACGCGTATCTAACAAAATTAAACATAAAGAAAGAATTCATTATGAATATCAAAATAATTGTATAACTAAAAATTATCTTTTTTATAAGTATAGATATTCATGGGAAATTTTGTATTATTATATTCAAATGTGTATTTCACACCAACTCGTCGCATGATTCTTCAATATAAAATCCTATAAAATTATTACAATGAATTATAATTTATAATATTTCATGTTTGATAATAAGTACACAATATTATAATGGGATTACGTAATATCATGTATTTGCTCATAATAACAACCAGGAATGCGACCACACCCAAAAGTGTTTTCGACTAAAGAATACCACTTTCATAGTCGTGACTCGTGAAATCCATATCAAGGACGACTGTACACGCGCCGCTCACTTCAAAGGACGCCGCCACCATATATATAGGGGACAGCGAGACAGCCAAAGTAGATGTACCAGAGCCGCCAAGACCGAGCGAGCCGTTTAGCCACCAGCCATTACACACGACTTACATGGAGATTATCGACTACTACAACGAGTCAACTCACGACGCTGCAATTCACCACGACTACATTATTTATTATTGATTTTAATAAATTACAATTGATTTATATTTAAATTGACTACATTCTATTGTAAAAGTGCAACAAGCTTTTGGATCCCTGAAGGGCCGCATATAACAATATATACTCGATATAATATTATAATAATAGTATCACGTCGTCGTCTTTTGTTTCTGATGGTCCGGGCCAGAATAAAAGTAACATAACAATATTGCGCGTATTTATAATATAATGTATTATAATATTATATTATAATATGAAATGACGACGACGGCGACAGTATTGTGATAAAAGTAGCGACGATAATTAATGTAAAACGTTTACTATTATAATATGATAATTGATGTTATTATTTTATGAAAATATTTTCTAATCTGATAGGTATTTATTATATATTATTATAACAATAATTCTATTGCGTTCGTGTTATTAGTATAGTGTAATATAAAATTTCATTATTTTAAAATATATATTTTATATTTGCGATACGCAGCGAAATAATAATTCACATATTTTATGTTACGATACCACGGTCGTTAGTCGAGAAACGATTATTAAAACGACATTTCAAAAATAACAAAACGTTATAATACTAAAAAAGTAAAAAAATTATAATACTATGTGTACGATTTTGTAGACCGTGCGGATCGTCGTTCTTATTATTATTATTATTTTTTTCACCGCGCCGCGACGACACCGCCCGTGACCGACGGCGCGGCGGTGTATATAAATCGCACGGTGCGCGCCGAGGTCGGTACGCCGCGCCGTCGGCCCGACCGACTGCGCGCCGACGTCGGCGCGTACCGTTCGATCTTATCGCGCGTCGTTCTCGTCGTGTTTTAATTTTTATATTTAATTTATTATTATTATTATTCTACGTCGAACATTCATATAACATTTTATCCGACGTCGTCGTTTATTTTTTAGTAAATAAAAATAATAATAATACCGAGTCGTAGGAATATAAATAGTATATAATAATAATACAGAATGGTGCAGTGAAAAGGGCGATCATCCTATATATTTAGATACGAAAATCACTGCCACCATCCTGTATAAATGAATTTCTGTATTTCTGTATTTCTGTATTTCGTAGACCGTGCGATCTGTAGACGGCGGCCGTGTATGTAAATCGCACGGTGCGCGCCGAGGTAGGTACGCCGTCGGTTGGTCACCCCGCACCCGTCGCGGTCGCCCCGACGCACCGCGCACGCGGCCCGACCAAAGGCGCGCCGACATCGGCGAGTACATGGCGATCTTATCGCGCGTCGTTCTCGTGTTTTAATTTTTATATTTCATTTTTTCTTCTCCTACGTTACTAACTATTATTATTTATTATTATTATTATTCTACGTCAAACATTCCGTAGGCTGTACATCTGTACGGATCATCGTTATTATTATTTTTTTTTTATCGCACACGACATCGGGACCGATCGACATATTTTACTATCAAAATATAATAACTATAATACCATAATATGTTATTACAACTATAAGACAATATTTATTATTGATCAATAAATAATAATAACAATAAAAAAAAAACTACAAATTATTCAAAATTATATGATTATATATTTCGAGGATGAGACATGATATAATTTTCAATCGTTGTTAAACAACTCATAATAGGAAAAAACTCGACTGCGTCGTCTCCGATTGCGACCAAAGCACAAACAATATGGTTCTTAGTGAATGGATATTTGTTAAAGCGACTGAGATTATTGAATCTCGTTGATGTGGTATTACAATATTGATTACTTTGATTTAGGTTATGTTATGTTATGATATCATTCTTATCACTAACTGGATGTCCAAATATTTATGTTCTTAATTGCAAATTATGTACCTTATTCATAAATGATGAATAAAATTGTATTTGTTTAGCTTTGATAAGTTTGAAATTCTTGGTGAAAGTTTCTAAGTTAGTAGTTATTATAATATAAACATTTTACCTAACTAATAGTAATCAATAACTGTCGATATGTCTATCAATTTAAGCAATCATGGTAGAAGTTTGACTGGAGATGTTAAAGTTAGATATTTGAATAAAATTTATGTTATAGATTCAAAAGATCCTTACTAGGTACTTATCAAAGGACCCAAATATCACTTGGACAACATACATGGATATTCTCCCACAGATAACTTACCCAGATGTGTTCAACTATTTGGTTTTAACTAAAAGCTTCTATACTTTAGATCAATTTAAAGCATTTAAAAGTTTAGAAGCCTATAATTTTTTTGTAAGCGGATGGATGTGTAATGCTAAATGGTTTGCTTTTACTAATTATGTACTTGTAATTGCTGAGGTAAGTTAGCTTAATGCTTTATGTCACGGGTATCATGCATACTACTTAATTCTCTTCAACATTTTCAAAATCTGAATCAGTACCTACCCCTATTTAAATATTTTAACATTTGCTAAATGAGAACTAATTAACTAATAAGAACCAATTTCTAAAGGTTTACATCAACTGGTTAAAAGTTATTTTAATTTCTTTTGTAATCAACTTATTAACTTAAAAAGTTTTGGAAACCATTGTAAGAACTTTTATTAAATAGAAAATAATGAATTAATTTAAAATCATTTTCTATACCTAGGCACTTACTACCTAGTAGATATAGCATTTTAACAAAATATTCAATTATTATTTTAAAAAAATGACATTAACTTGGTCACCTTTGCTAACTTCTAATTTGATAACTTGACCATGTTCGAGCTTTTGCTTTTAAGCTTGATGGTTTTTCAATACCTATTTCAAAACAGTCAATTATCACAGCAACACTGTTTCCAAAGGTTTTAATTCCAATAACCTGAATATTTCAAATATTCAATAAACTTTAATAGTTTCATGGACATCCAGTTGATGATAAGAAATAATTGATAAGAAAACATTATCAACGTCTATCATACACACCGTTGACGACATCGTTTTCAATCATCGTCATCATCGACTGTCGACTCATCGATTTGTTCGACGATGGCCATCGTTAGTCGTTACTGTCGCCGTAGTAGCGTCTTCGACTTTCTCATGTCTTATGTCGACGACGTTTTCTTCTCGTTGTTCTCGATTGAAGTGACCTCCGCCACCGCTGCTGTACACTCGTCGTCCGTATTCGTTTGTGGTGCTATATTTCTTTTGATCAACGGGTTCTTCACGATAACACTACAACTATTTGCATCATCATCATCATCATTATTATTATTTCTATTTTCGTCGAACAAAAAATTTTCTATAACGATTTACTACCGCATAAACGTTTTCGTTGATGCCTCATTTTTCCGAAACGCAAGAAACGTATAGACTGATCAAACTCTTTATAGGAAAACATTCGAAATAAAAATTCGTATAAAGTGTGATAAAAAAAAAAAATCTTAAAATATTAATACCTACTAATATTTATTTGATCGATACGACTAATGATGATATTATTGTAATGTTTTTATTCTTCTATCGTTTATTTTATTTAGTTTATTCTATAGTTTAGTGTAAATATGTAATATTATATATTTTACTGTTTTATACAGCGTATGTCTTTATACCGTTGTCTGAAAACAACGCTTTTTTTTCATCGTTCATGAACCAATCACTATGGAACCTCGGCAAAAGAGCAAAACTTTCGGAATGTCGATGTTTAACGTTACGATTAAATCCACTATTTGAGGAATCGATTCTAATCGACTTTCGACGTCGTCGGGTTCAATAACGATAAATAAATTTTCATGTCGTAAATACGTAGACACGCCGAGCCCGTAGTCTATATCATAATTTCTTATTGTTTCGGATGTTATTGAATTATTAAGTAACTTTGTATTTTCAGGATTCGGTAAGAATATAAAACCGTCGGTGTTTCCAAATAATACGAACAACAACTGTTGATTATCATTCATTTGCCTAGAACACGTCGTCAATCATTATGACGTCGTCGACACGAACGACGCGAATGATAGAGCACTATAATAAAATATTATAATATTATGATACGTATTCTACAAATACAAATGAATTCACATGCCATGAATGTAAATAAAAAAAAATAGTTCATGATAAAAATATTATATATATATTTATGTATTATAGGAATGAAAAAAAAAAACGAAATACAATAAATTATACATCTGTACATTTTTATTGTATATTATATTATATTATTATATATTACAAGGATAGATGGGTATAATAATATTATGTAGGAAATTACGATGGATCGTAACAATTATTATTTATTATATATTATATGATAAATTATAAAAAAAAAAAAATAATAAACGTTAATAACGTTAAATTTAAATAAATAAATAAATTTTTAACTTCTCAGACCTGGCGCTATCGACGACCAATAATTACCTCGCATCGGTTACTTATTAACCGTAACCAACTTTAATTCGACAGTCTCTATCGACCCATCTGTAGCCATTACTCAGTTTACCATAGCCTTTATGTTTATTCGATTTTGTTTTACGGTATGTATTAAACAACAGTATAATAATTCGCAACCCTGAAAGAATGACACAAATCAAAATATTGGGAAATCGACTTTTGATGTTTCATTATGTCCATACATAATAATAATAATGACGTAATTTAGTCATTATAAATAGGATTTTCAATCAATTTTTCTTTTTCCAACCTTATATTATCCTTAATATTGAATAGTTTTAAAACAATAATTTTATAACAATTTTTTAAAACAATAATTTAAGTACCATTTCACTTTTGTCTTTTGTTTTATTGTAAAACTGATTTCAGTTTGACTTGCGTCGTTATGTCTACTTGGAAAAATAATATTTTTTGATTTACGTCGCATAAAGTTAAATTCGATTTGTAATAACAATATTATTTATTACATTCAAATATATATAACTTGTCCATAAACATTTAAGATCAATAACACTTATAAAAATACAAAACAACAGGTAGGTAAATAATTGTTATTATTGCATGTTTTAACTAATTGATACATTTTAGGCAATAATTATTATTGCGAAAAACGTCAAAAAACCAAGACATGTATAAGCCGCATTGGTATATAGATGTGAAATAAGGGATGATTGCGAGGTCGACGGATCTGTTGTGGTACCTATATATAATATTACAACACGCAAGCGTGCCTAACGAGGGTAACAAAATATTATATAATATTATTATGGCCAATGTCGTACGATTCGATTTTTCTCCAGGATAGTATCCGATGAGGTGGTGGCGGCGACTACAAACGATGATATCTACACGGTCTCCATCTTATCAATATATCACGCAGGTGACAGTAGGAGGTATAGGTACATATAATGTCCCCAGAAACAGCAAGAAACGCGATACGGAAATCCAAGTGCACTATACATCGAGACGATCATAGACCTCCATGTGTCCGCCGACGGTGCACTAGAAAGTGGCCTTCTAGATTTATTTTGTTTTCTATCAGAAGTCTATATTATACATACAGAGTGATTCGTCGAGCGAGCTCAACCACGGTTTTTCGTTTGAAAACGAATTTATACAAATTCTGATTTTTGGAATTTTTTTATGTGATAGATATATATATTATATATATATATACACACTATTAAAGACCGTATAATTTTAAAATTATTTGAGAGATTTGTTGCCCAGTGGTGGTACAAACTTCGGATTTTGTAAATGAGAGCCACACCCTTTTTTACTGTACACTATTCAGTGGGATTATTTTTTTGAAATGCGTTTGATGTACCTACTCGATTCAAAATTCGAACAATTAGATTCTCACACTCTCATCAGCTATTAAAATATATATCTCAAAAATAATAGTCCTAAGTCATATTATGGTTTTACACAAATATAGAATTAATGTCAAATCTGATTTAGAATTCACTATAAGTTTTTATAAATTATAAATATTAATTTATAACTAAAAATTTTAAATGTTTATAGCCCCATAATAATGATATCTTCCAAATCTATTACGATGGGCCTGTTACACAAATACACAATGTTAACTGATTTTTAGTAAAAAGTAAAAACTATCCACCAAATATTGTATAGCACAAAAGAGGGGTTTTGTTTGAAAAACTAAAGTTTGTATCTCCACACGACACTTTATACGACACAATTTGAAAATACTGTGGTCTTTGCGAGTACTATATTTAAAAATTCCAAAAAAAAATATTTTAATAAATATCTGATTCAATAGAAATTTGTTGGTGATCATGCTTGGCGAATATCGCCCTGTATATATTACTGTATATCTGTTATATCGGGTCATCCTCACGCAAAAAACGACAAATGAAATAAATATTATGCAAATTGGGGTTCGGGTGACATATTCAGGGTGATAGTCGTATCACAAAATCGCGTTACGTTCTTACATGATATCCATATCTACCTACTGTAATAAAATTAGATATGGGAGCCCAGTAAATTGTACTGAGATTTTTTCACGGGCAAATTTTTTTTACTGTTGTTAAAATCCAGTGATCCTCCATTTTAAATGTTTTTACTGTTGTGTGTAATATTCTGGTAGTCTTTAAGACTATACATACATACCTTCGGTATCCAGTATTTTACAATAACCATTAATAATTAATGTCTGCTGTCAGCTGTCACTGCCTGTCAGCATAGACAATTTCAAAAATAGTTTAAATAAGAAAAAAATACAAATAAAAAAAAAAAAATGATTTACCAATTTATTGAATTTTACGTACATTTTACCAGTAACATTTTTAATGATAAATTCCATACCTCTAACCTACAGAACTTGGCATAAATATTAAAAATATAATTTTATTTAATATTAGGAAAAATGGGCAATATACGATAGGGAGATAACAAAAATAATGAAATACTTAAAAACAAAACTTATTAAAACTATTTCATATAAACTCTGTATCGTGGGAACAAAATATTTTTTTTCAATTTAAAAGGTTTCACCTTTCCCCCCCCCACCACCACAATTTATTTTTATTTTAGCAATATATCTGACCATTATATCACTATATATTATCCTGGTCATTATGGCATTACTTACTAAATATATTTCATACATTTTTAATTTCTTTTATAGTAAATTGAAATTTATAATACTTCAAGCTGACCATTGTGGATCCAAATCGTTGAGCAGTAGACTTTTGCTAAGGTGACTTTATGGAAGTGGTGACGCTATAACATGCCTAGCAAATTGTACTTGAAATAGAAACCGTTTTACTTTGTTATGTTTAATAATAATACATGATGAATTTAATATCTATAGTAAAAATTAAAGGAAATAATATTATTTAGGGTGGTTTGGGAGGTATTTTCTATATTTTGATCTTGAAATAAGTAATGAGCATTTTACATTTTTTAAATGCTCATGACTTAGCTAATAATAAAAATATCAAAATAAACCTACTTAGATGTAGTAGAATAGAAACAAAAGATGGAGAAATAAGCGTTAATAAGTAGGGATGTTGGGACTTTATTCGGTATTAAGCTATATGACTATATGAGGTCTATATGGTGGTTTCTATTCCACTACATAATTATTATTATTAGGTATGTTTTAAAAGTGTATCGCCTACCTCGTTTAGTTGCAAACGATGTATATAATAGGTAATATTATAATCTCTTTGATGTCGGTCGATGCATGCTATAAGCATATAAAAGTCTACCATATTCTATTATAATTAAATGTATAATATGTTGTGTAAGTTTGATTACCATTTTAAATGTTACTTATATTGGCATTTGATATATTAGATATAATTTACCTTATACCTTATTTAATTTGTTCAAGCCCGGATTAAGGGTGGGTCCAGTGGGGGCCATGGCCCCTGGGCCTCAATCGTCAGAATTTATTTAGGGGCCTCAGATTTGCCCATTATTTGTTTCGTTATAGGCTATATCACGCTGCATAAATCACCTAAAAAAAAATCGATGATTATTTAGCTAGAAAAAAAGCTTGTAAATTATAAATTATAATATATAGATAAAATGATACATTATTCATTATTTATTGCTATGTGGGTACCTAATATCCATATATATTTATTATAACAGGTACCTACCTAATATTAAATAATACGATGGTAAATTATTATTTTTTTTTTCTTTGTACAGGGTCGTTATTTAAAACTTTGGCCCCTAGGGCTCTAATCCGGGCTTGAATTTATTAAGAATGTATATTCAAATATCATGATTGGATAAAATGGTATATCAAGGATTCGATATGAGGAAATTGGTAGGTGGTAAAGAAAATAACACTAGTGTTTTTTTGGTTAAAAAATTATGAGGACGTCATACCTTCATGTGTTATCTTCGTCTTATAGCAAATTGTACGCTCAGCAAAACATGTGTTAATTTAAAAATTAGAGTGAATATATACTGTTATAAAATCTAATAGTAAGATTATTATCTAGGTAACCTCATGTGATTTTTATTATATTTTAATTTTAAAACAAGTTATTAGTGTTTTAAAATTTAAAATTGTTTGTACATCTTAAAATTATTATAACTGGCTTTAAAATTAAAATATAATAAAAAATCCACGAGACTGCCTAGACAATAATCCTACTGTTAGATTTTATAAGAGGTCAATTCACTCTAATTATTAAATTAACGGAACTACACGTGTTCTGCTGAAAGTACAATTTGCTATGTTCAGTCCTTGTGAGACGGAGAGAACACATGAGGATATCACGTCCTCTTAAGATGCATATATCAATAAAGTTCATACCTAGTGCTTAAGTCAACGAAATATGGTAAGGTTGTGAGTGCAATATCTGAATTTTATTGTGTGTTCTTCCAGATAATATCGGTATGTTTTGGTGATTGGACGATTATTTTGATTGGTTTATATTAATTATTTTTTGCGTCATAATCCTGGTTGATCGAGATTCAATTATTATTCATGTGTGATCAGGTTGTGTGAATTCAGTTC